GGTTGGGACTAGATGGTCTGTGAGGTCAGTTCCACTCCATTCCGCCCCCTAAATTCTATGACTCTACGATTCTAGGTGTTGAAGAGGCATCTGGATCTGACACTGGAGGGTCTGGTTTAGGGTTTAGGGGTTCCAGCAGTGACAGGTTCATGGTTGGACTGGATGATCTTTTAGGTCTCCTCCAGCCTTGGTGATTCTGTGATTCACTTGACTGAGAGCACTGTAGGATGCCTTGACAAAAGATGCTGTTGTAATTCACTCACACATCCTATACTGAGAGAGCAAAATGAGAGCAATATACTATCATAAGTTTATTTAAATTAAGGTATGACATTTTGCCACATTTGAAGTAAGAAACATTTCCCGCACATTTCAGTAACCATATTTAACAGTAGCTTGAAAAACTTGCCTCAGACCAGATTTATTCTTGAGTTAAAACTGAGCTGTTAACAGCTTGTAAAGAATGAATGTAATTAAGCTTGTGTAAAGAGCGGAGTCTGGAAAGGTTTTCAACTTAAAAGACCTTCACTGCCTACAGTCCATGAGTAAATGGTTATTCTCCTTCTGGGAAATCTGGGAAGTTTCACAAGAACTTACAGCTGTGTTTGTTTGTGTCAAACTGGAATATGCAGCTTCACCAATAATCCCTTTAGAGAAGGGATGTGTAGACAATACTCAGTGCAGGAAGGTTAGTTCTGTTAGCAGCATCCCAGGCCTCATCATAATTCGCACTGTAAATGAAATTTGCCTGTTTCTTTTAAATTTCTTCACTTCTAAAAAGTAATAAATGAGAAAATCTCCTTCGGTTTGAAGGTTTTTGGATTTTGCGGGTGGGTTTTGGTTTTTTTTCAATCATTATGAAAAAATGTTAGCCTTGTAAAGTACTCAGAGCTTACAAAACCTCTAGGTGAACAAAGTATATCTGTCTCAGCAGCAGCAGAGATGAGAAGTAAAACTCAAGGGTCTTCTGAGTTTCTGTATTGAATCAACTAGATTATATGGTGTAAAGTTTTCCTGAGTAAATTTAGACTCATAGAATGGTTTAGGTTTGGAAAGGACTTGAAAGATCATCTAGTTCCAATCCCCCTGCCCTAAACTCAGTCCTAAAATTTACCTGTTCCTAGTTGCTGCTGTTTCCTAAGCTAAGTAAATACATTGTCAATTGTCTTCTGCTCAGGAAATGCTGAAGTACAGTAAGAACTGTGAAGGTGCTGAAGACCTCCAGGAAGCACTAACTTCTATCCTGGGCATTCTTAAAGCAGTCAATGATTCCATGCACCAAATAGCCATCACTGGCTATGATGTGAGTAGCACTAGTTTTTACTTACCTCTCTGTTTATTTTCATGGCTTTCTTGGATCTGTATATCCATCTACACCCTATGCTGTGTCCTCATATTCAGACTGTTTCACAAAAGGTGCCTTTGAATGAATTGTGTCACAAAAATAATGAAAAAGATCTCTCCATACTCTTTTGAAGTTTTCCTGCTGTGAGTAATATTTTGCTCTGTCTACCTATGTTTTTTTTCCTTGATCTACTTGACAATGACCTCATTGGTAGAAGCAGAAAACTCTCATGAAGAGTCTGATTTAGGCTACAGCCAAATGGGAGTTGCTGCTAAGTTTTTGTATCCAGGTGTAAAACTACAACCAAAACTTACAGTTACAAAAAAAATAACAACAACCAACAAGCAGCTTTGGAGCAGAGTTTGAAGGGGGAAAAACCCAAGTAACCAAATGTGTGTATTGAGTTTCCCTCTCTCTCTGTATAATATCTCTGCTACTGATAATCTTGGCTGTAAACTCCTGTCTGAACAGAGTTGACAAGTGAAAATCATGTGTAAAAATCCAATACTGTCTTCATTACATTTCCAAATCCAACATGAACACTGATAATGAAAGACTACTGGGAACAACAGACCAGTAAAAATCTGTTCAGAGTGTGTTTTAGTGTGGTGTTATCTCTTTGTAGTTATAAGTATCACTTTTTTTGCTGTTGTTGTTCTAGGGAAACCTGAATGAGCTGGGCAAGCTTTTAATGCAGGGATCCTTCAGTGTCTGGACTGATCATAAGAAAGGTCATGCAAAGGTGAAAGATTTGGCACGTTTCAAGCCAATGCAGAGACACCTCTTCCTCCACGAGAAAGCAGTGCTGTTCTGCAAAAAGCGAGAAGAGAACGGAGAGGGATATGAGAAAGCACCTTCTTACAGCTACAAACACTCTCTAAATGTAAGACACCAAGCCAGTCCAGCCAGGCTGGGGTAGAGGAGTTAGTCTGCATAGCCAACATTCCAGAGTTTCTCTGCAAAGCTGTGTTGCAGCATTGCACTGAGAACTTCACTCTTTCTGGCAAACCTGACTGGAGCTGCAGGTCTGTGTTACCTTGGGTCTGTTGGAGAGGTGGCAGGGGAGAAATTTCCCTTTCAGAAAATCCAACTGGTACTAGGCCAACTGAATGGCAGACTAGGGCAGTGCTCATCCCCCTGCACTGGGCACTGGGGAGGTCCCAGCTCAGTGCTGTGCTCAGCTTTGGGCACTCACTGCCCAAAGGCCATTGAGGCACTGGAGCGAGTCCAGCCAAGGGCAACGAGGGCAGCAAAGGGCTGGAAAACCTGTGGGATGAGGAAGGGCTGAGGGAGTTGGGTTTGTTTAGCCTGGAGAAGAGGCTCAGGGGTGACCTCCTGGCTCTCTGCAACTCCCTGCCAGGGCTGGAGAGAGGTGGGGGATGTGTGTCCTGCCATGGCTGCAGGGAGAGGACTAGAGGGAATGGCCTTGAGCTGAGCCAGGGCAGAGTCAGATTGGATGTGAGGAGAAATGTTTTCCCTGTTGTGGTGTTGAGGCACTGGGATATTGCCCAGGGAGGTGGTGGAGTCACCATCCCTGGAGGTGCTGAAGAGGTGTCGGGATCTGACACTGGAGGATCTGGTTTAGGGTTTAGGGGTTCCAGCAGTGACAGGTTAATGGTTGGACTCAGTGACCCTAGAGGTCTCTTCCAACTTCGCTGGTTCTGTGATTCTAATCACAGACAAGATGTAGACCAGGGTAGTATAAAATAGGTTTAAGATTTGGTGGTCTGGATTTTAAGAGACATCCTATAAGTCAGTCTCAATGTAATGCACCTAAACCTTTCTTGCCTCCAAGGTAGCCAGGCTGATACAAAGCAAGAAATCTCTTACGCCCAAATTGCAGATCATATATTATTAGCTATTCTTGAGCAAGAAGCCAAATATGGTTTTCCTTTTCAGAGTAGCAAAGAATATCAGTAGCCTCTTGCTTCTGTTCTTACTGTAATTGCAAGGTGGTAGGTCTGCTTCTGTTCTCTTTGCTTCCAGATGGCAGCAGTTGGAATAACAGAAAACGTCAAAGGTGATGCAAAAAAATTTGAAATCTGGTATAATGCAAGGGAAGAAGTTTACATTATCCAGGTAAATAACATGCCACTACTTTAAAAACAAAAAGAGAGAGTGAGAAGGGGAGTAGAAGTCTAACCCCAAGAAGATCTGGAGGGGTTTCTCCTCTGTTATAATAGATAAAGATGAGGAAGTGTAAAAAAAAATAAAAATCAACACAACCAACCACCAGATTAGTTCATAAGGTACTTTCTTAATATATTTCAATTGAAGAGTCTCCTGGGGGGCAAAATAATCATATTTTTCAATATGCATGGAGGATATTGTATACATCATTATCATAGCTGTCACTGGAGTAGTGGATGTCTTGGGATGATTAATGGACTTGGGCATCTCAGTGATAAGGAGAGGCTGAGGGAGTTGGGGCTGTTCAGTCTTCAGAAGAGACACTGAGAGGGACCTCATGAATGGATTCAAGTCCATGAACAGGAAGTGCCAAGAGGATGATCAGACTCTGCTCAGTGGGGGAACCAAGAAAGCAAAGCTGTCACTGGAGTAGTGGATGTCTTGGGATGATTAATGGACTTGGGCATCTCAGTGATAAGGAGAGGCTGAGGGAGTTGGGGCTGTTCAGTCTTCAGAAGAGACACTGAGAGGGACCTCATGAATGGATTCAAGTCCATGAACAGGAAGTGCCAAGAGGATGATCAGACTCTGCTCAGTGGGGGAACCAAGAAAGCAAAGCAAAAGGGAACAGCAAGAACTGATGCCCAGGATGTTCCACCTGAGCATGAGGAAGAACTTCTTTGCTGTGCAGTCACACTGAACAGACCCAGAAAGGTCGTGGATTCTCCCTCACTGGAGATATTCCAGACCCATCTGGACACAATCCTGAGCCATGTGCTCTAGGGTGGCCCTGCTGGAGTAGGGAGGTTGGACCAGCTGACCCTTTGTGGTCCCTTCCAACCTCACTGACTCTCTGATACTGTGGGAGATGGGGTTTGACTGCAGCACGTGCCTAACCTTTGCCTCAGCATCTTCCAGTTGCTACAACTAGTTTCTGATCATGGAAGAACTAGAGAGGGAGCTCTGCCTGTCCCTCTTGAAGGATTCCCCCAAAGCTGTCCTTTGGCATACAACTAATTGTATACTGAATCTTCTGTGCTTGATGGCTGATTGCATTTATTTCTGGGTAGGCACCAACCCCTGAAGTTAAAGCCACTTGGGTAAACGAAATCAGAAAGGTGCTGACAAGCCAATTGCAGGCATGCAGAGGTAAAATGGTTCCTTCTGTTTTCTCTTTGAACTTCAAATCCTGCCCTGTCTATCTTCTCTATGCAGGACATAAATGGATTTTAATAGTTCATTTTCTTTCCCCCATTCCAGAAGCAAGTCAGCATAGGACACTAGAACAGACACAGAGTTTGCCTCTACCTCTCCCAGCATCATCTTGTACAAGGTAAGTAAATATGTTGCCAAATCAGCTTGGCTAGCTGAGAAATATACTAATACACTAGCAAATATACTAATAGTATATATCATAGAATCATAGAATTTAGGGGTTGGAATGGACCTTAGAGATCATCTAGTCCCAACCCCCTGCCCAGGGCAGGGACATCTCCTCACTAGATCAGGTTGCTCAAGGCTATACACGTGTACATATAATATATATAGCCTATAAATATACTCATATATATATATAGAGAGAGAGCAAATGTACTAATACATCTGGTTTGCAGCTCTTCATTACTCCTATCCCTGAATCCTGGCTCTGGTGTTTTAAGGATTTTTTAGTTCTCTTCTTAATATAAACTTTGGAGTTTATACATCTCCAGAACTGTTAAACTGAGCAGCAGCACCATGGGCTTTAGCAGTGGATGGAGAACAACCCAAAAAATAATCTGCTGTGCCAGCCAAAATCCTGGTGGTGTTATGGGTCTGCTCATTGAGCAGCTAATTATATACATTGCACTCCAGATAGGAGAGTTGTATGGAGTTGCCTTTTCCTCCTTTCAGTGTTCTTTTCTTTCACCTGCATTATTTTTCCTTCCTTTTCCAGTGTCATGTTGTCTTCCTTTTTGTCTTTTTCAAGGTATTATCTTTTCTCTTGTCCCTTACTCTTTTCTTTCTTTTCTTCCAATTTCCTTTCCTTTTTAACCTAAGTGATGTTTGAATTCCTCCAGTGTCCCAAATTCTGAGTCAAGTTTTGCTTCTTTCCCATCCTTCACTATACCAACCTGTATATTCTTCTGTTCTCACCTGCTCTTCTGCCCTTGTCTGACACCTGTTTTTAATCCTCTGCCACTCACTCTGTTTCTCCATCATATGTGTCTATGTATTTACCCTTAAGCCCATGTGCTCATCCCTTCAGTTTGCACATGATGTGTGCTCAAACATGTGTTGGTAGTTCTCTGCCCTGAGTCTTTTATGCATCACCTTATTGCTCAGGGAGAATTTCACAGATGGAAAGTATCTGGGTGGTGTCTCTAGTCCATTCCCAAATAGAAGTGCAATGGGAATCTAGTTGCAAGAGCCAACCTATGTTCATAGAACCATCAAGGCTGGAGAAGACCTCTAAGATCATCCAGTCCAACCATGAACCTGTCACTGTTGGAACCCCTAAACCCTAAACCAGATCCTCCAGTGTCAGATCCAGATGCCCCTTCAACACTTCCAGGGATGGTGACTGCACCACCTCCATGGGCAATATCCCAGTGCCTGTTCTTTGTTCATCCCTCATCTGTTACTGTTAAGAGCTTCTGAGAGGCAGAGTTTGTCCCTTTATTTTCCTTCTTTTCTTTTAGTGTGTTCAGGAGGAATCTGTTAACTGCGAGTGGAAGTTGTCCTGAGCCATGTTTTCAGTAGCTTGCACTGCCATAGTACATTTAAGGGAGGAATTTCTCCTTTGGGTTGTGCTCATGGTCTTTAAATTCACAATCACTTATGACTTTTTCAGTCCTGGAAGGTATGACCTGGGAAGTAGCTAATAAATGGGTTCAGTCTATATGTAAATAGACTATACCCCTTTCAGTCTATCTGTATGTAAAAGGCAGCCAGATTCTAAAAGTCATTACCTCTGTTCACACCAAAATCTGCTGGAAATTGATTGATTCTCTTAATTTCCCTCCAATAAACAGTCCTTCACGGAACCACATCAGAAATACCAAAAAGACGGAGGAGAAAAAAGCTGATCTCACCAGTCTAGAAGGTTACAGCACTCCAGTAGCACCAAAGTACCCTGAGAAAGGCAAAGGTGAGTTTACACACACGTGCTGTTGTGTTTGATTGCAAAGAGCATGTCTGCACTGCAGATGCACAGGCAGATCCACCAGCAGAGTAGCCATGGTAGTGCAGGGAAGGAAGCATCGCTCCTGAGCGAACAGGATTTTGTTGTTTGGAATCCTAACCCACCCACAAAGTGCTGCCCAGGCTGCACCAGAGTACTGGTCCCATCTGTCCTTAGCTTGGGATGGATTTCTGTGTCCCAGTGTGTGGTGTGGACAGGCCCAAAGTGATCTAGAGTGAATGGTGCCAAAAGCAGGTGGAAGTATTTGTTATGAATCATAGAATTTTAGGGGTTGGAATGGACCTTACAGATCATATAGTCCCAATCCCCTGCCATGGGCAGGGACACCTGAAGCCTATCCATTCCAACCTCTAAATTCTATGATCCTATGATGACACCTCCCACCACACCAGGTTGCTCAAGGCTTCATCCAGCCTGGCTGTGAACACTGCCAGGGTTGAGGCAGTCACAGCCTCCCTGGGCAACCTGGGCCAGTGTCTCACCACCCTCACAGGGAAAAACTTCTCCTTTATATCTAACCAAATTTCCCCTCCTTCAATTCATACCCCTGAGTCTGCAGTAGTGTCTTCTCTTAGAGCTGCCCAACTCCTCAGGGGTCTCTTCCTCTGGCTAAATTCCTTGTATTACTGGTTCTAAAGAGAGGGGTTTGGTTTTGTTTTCTCTTTAATTTGGTTCTCATCACAGAGATGATTTACTGAACCAGTGGCAGGACAGGCCCCTGCACAGTGAGAACAATCAGCTGCTTGTGTTGTCCCTGGACTTTCAGCTGTCCTTTCTCACCCTCACATGCAGGTGCCCTGGCAGGGCTGCAAATGACTTTTTGCCTTGATCTTTTCATGGCCTTCTCCCTTGTCTTTCTCTGTCTCTTTCTTCCTTTGTAGCCAACAGTAGGTCTACCTCAGAATGCTCTGTACTGTCAAAAAAGCGCTTTACACTGCAGAGCTTTACTAGCCTCAAAGGTCAGAAAGGTAATGGAAAACCCCCAAAAAGCTAGACTGTTGTATCATCACTCTGTATGTAGTAGTGTGTAATGTGCAATGTGATAGGTTTTCAGTGTACACACTAGCTTGTTCTTCTAAGGTCAAGCTAGGTTCCCAAGTCATTACCTCTGACAGAGAGATGCCAAGAGAAACCAGCTCCAGAGTGGGAGGGGGAGATGCAGCTGGGAAAAGTGGGGCTGTTGGAGATGTAAGGGAAGAAGTGCAGCTTCTAATGTCTCCAATCTCACTGTCAAGGCCAAGGAAGGAGTTTATAGTGCCCAATTCCTGTAGGAAAAACAGGAAGAAAGTTATCCTCTGCTCAGACACCTGGCCTGCTTCTAGCTTCAGTGGATCTGCCCTGACTGCACTTGTACTTGGCAAAAAGGAATCAAGCTTTTATAGATCATTTCTGTATTGGCACCCTTGCTAAACAAAATTCCCAAAGCATGACTACAGCAGAATGTGTCTGAATTTCCCTATTTTTTTCCAGAACTGGTCTTGTTTTATCTCTAAGCCAGGCAAAAAGAGTCTGAGACCTTTCTTGCTTCCTCCTGCCAAGTAATCACACTGGTACAGTCACTTCTTGCTTTGAACAGCTGTCTCTGAACAGCCTGAATTGCACTAAGATGATGGCACTTGTTCAAGAGCATGGTATATTTTCCCCTTCCAAGCATCTTTTCAGAAGTCCTTTTTGAAACCTGATTACCTTTGAGTTCTTTCTGGAGAGACTCCAGGGTTGTGTATCTAATGCTGCTGAGGTGAGCACTAATATCCCATGCTTGCCTTGACAGAATCTCCACCTCCTTCTGCTAAAAGCCAGACATTGCCAATGATCCTTCTTACAGGACCAGGTATTGCTGTTAGCACTCAGTTTGCATAAAAATCATTGCTTCATTCAGTAATGTTTGTCTGAAACTGAAGTTAATTGTTTTCAGTTGATGTTGATCTCATTTAGAAAAGTTTACATATATTTTTCACCCATTGCTGTAAAATCCAGTTGTCAATTTATTCTCTAATAACTACATGTAAATAATGAATTCCTTCTGCTGCAATGGACCAATGACAGCTAAAATTAGATTGCAGAAATCCACTAGTTTTCCAGTGTAAACTCAAAGGTATTTAGCATGCAATCCACCTACTCTCTTTCTTCCAGTTCTTCAATATCTCTCTTCTGTGTTTTTTGCCTATTCATCCTCCTGCAGCTTCTCCTACCAGTCCTGACAAAAAACCTAAACGGCATGAAGTAGTGAGTGACCCAACTCCTTTTGGTTTGAGAGGTACAGTGATACCACATCTTGTACTCCACAAACGTCCCTCATGTAATACAGCAGAGCCCTGGGGAGACCTGTATGGTCCTGTTGTGTGTAGCAGGATTGATATCAGCTGTGTTTTTCCAAGTGGATCTGTCAGGTTCTGTATATACTGGGTTTGATAGCACAGCTGGTTGAAATTTTACCTTGGTATCAAAAGGCTAACTAGTTTTTAGGAGAGGACAGTGGGAAAGAGATGATCTGCTGAAGAATTAACCAGGAGCTGGGTGTTTCTTGGGATTCCTAGGGTGTGCAGTTGATGTGAGATAGGTTGTTTTCTATGTGTTAACATCTTTGCCACTGTGGCCCTTGTGGAGAGGATTTAGCTTTTCAAAGAGAACAAATAAAATTCAATCTGAACCTCATGTCCTCTAGTCAGAGTTGGGAATCATCATTCTCACAAGAAACTTCCATTTTAGAGCTGCATTTATCACTGGAGTCACATCCTGGTTGCATCTTTCTTTGGGTGATAGTAGGCAATTTTTATCACCCTGTGAACCAACCTGTGACTTAACTGAACCCCCCCCTGCAGCAGTTTGCCTCCTGTGCTCCCAACTCACAGCTACACAGAGCACAGGAAAGCACTTCAAGTAACTCATTTCTAACCAGCAAGGCTGTGGGTGAAGGTTTGAGTGCAATTCTCTGGGGCTAATTAGCTAGAGTCCAAGGAGAGCAATCCCTCTCCTCCTGACTCTGTTTGTACCACCATACTATTCTAAAGACAATACTATTCAAGCCCTTCCATCAACCTCCTCTCTGCGTTTCCAGAGCCTCTGTCTTTGTCTCACCTGTGGAAATGGTACAGGTTCAGCTGCTGTGCTGGGGAAACTCTGCAGTGCCATTCACTTGGTCTGAGCAGCAGGCAGAGTAATCCTGGGCTGGACACATGCAGAAACACCATGAGGGTGTATATGAGAGTTTACAAGGTCAATTTTCTGCAGGTAGCAGCCAAACCTCTGAGACATCCAGGTACTGTGGAAATCCTAAGACTCTGAAAATGCTGTCTGAAAGAAAAGGGTGTTTTATGGCCTTTTACACAGATCATAGAATCAAGTGGGTTGGAAGAGACCTCAAAGATCATCCAGTCCAACCTTACTGTGGTTACTAGACCATGGCACTAAGTGCCACATCCAGTCTCAGCTTGAAAACCTCCAGGGATGGTGAATCCACCACCTCCCTGGGCAGCACATTCCAATGCCTGAGCACTCTCTCTGTAAAAAATCTCTTCCTAATATCCAACCTAACCCTCCCCTGGCAGAGCTTGAGTCTGTGCCCTCTTGTCCTGCTGCTGGTTGCCTGGGAGAAGAGACCAACCCCCACCTGACTCCAACCCCCTGTCAGGGAGTTGCAGAGGGTGAGAAGGTCTCCCCTGAGCCTCCTCTTCTCCAGGCTGAACATCCCCAGCTCCCTCAGCCTCTCCTCATAGACGCTCGGGTTTCCAAGGCAGAGAGACCTTAATCATTGCTAGAAAAAAATTATTTGGTCCTTGGAACAGAATTATCTGTTTTGCTGTGCTGCCCCAGCCTTTATGAAAAGGCTAAACCAAGGAAATTAACTTGAAACATCTACTAACTCTCCTGCCTTGCGTCTTCCAATCTCTTTCCTGGCACTTTATCTCTTCTCCTTCCCCAGCTCAAAGAGGGATAAGTTCTGCTGCTGTGGCAGGATCAGACTGGTCTACTCTTAGCACATCAGCACAGTGTAGGAAAAGAAAGGCTGAGGAACAAGAGCTGTTTCCCAAAATGTATCAGATGAGTATGACAGTGAGTATGAACCATAGAATCAGAGAATTTTAGGGATTGGAATGGAGCTTAGAGATCATCCAGTCCCAAGCCCCTGCCCTGGGCAGGGACACCTCCTCACTACATCAGGTTGCTCAAGGCTCATCCAGCCTGGCCGTGAACACTGCCAGGGTTGGGGCAGCCACAGCCTCCCTGGGCAACCTGTGCCAGTGTCTCATGAGGCTACAGACAGAGCACTTAGTGATTTCACCTTCTTTTTCTTTCATGCAACTCCTTGGTCCTGTTTCTAAAGAGAGCTCAGAACAATTAGGAGAAATCAAGTTTTCTTTTGTTGCTTGGTTCTTAACTTGGAACTAATGGAAAGGGTTTCAGCCACCGAGAAGATATGAGCTTCCAAGGAAATTATCATGGAATACAGCAGCAATTTATTACTTAGTTTCTCCACAGATGGAAGTTCATTCTTAACCTTGGACAGGCACAAATGGGTCAGTACTTCTAATCTTGTGCAGGCCATCCAGCAGCGCAGGCGAGGTAAAACTCCTGCTCCCTTTGGTGTGCCCTGGGTGTGATTTGTTTCTGTGATGCTTAGATTCCTTTGGCTTTACTCTGATGCTGCTCAGCTTTTTCCTAATGCACTGGCATGACCAGCTGTGTGACAAATACCTCAGCAGCAGTGAACAGCAAAAGTGCCAGTGCCTTCTCCATTTCACTAATAGTCACATAAAAGTGGGAGATTTGTTCTTCCTTCCATTCTTTTCATTGAGTTTCATTGCTGTCACTATTTGGCTTGAAATAAAATCTTACAAATATTTATCTCTTTTATTATGACCTTTTTATCACTATAAGCTTAACCTATTTATTAACAGCTGCTGACCTCAGTGTAAAGCATCCCACTAGTAAAACTTAGTGTAGTTTCATTTTGGAAAAGGATTTTGTACACTCTGAATATGATTCAGCTTCATAAATACCTTAAATGCTTCACCCTGTGCGAGAGAAAAAGGAACACTTGGCAATAAATGAGAATCGGTGTTCTGGTGGCCTTTGGTGCAGTGTTTTAACAGCAAAATAAGTCAGAGTGCTCAAGTATCCTCCTGTCAGCCTGAAGACCCTTAGCCAATGGGCTGCCTCACCAGGTGAAGTGCAGAGTGCTTGTAGCTTGTGCTGAATTTCTTGACAGCTCTAGGTGCTTAGCAGTGTGAAGGACGCAATGCCCATCCATCCCTTATTCCAGCAGGCTGGTTAGGCTGCTTTGGGTGACAGCCCTGCGTGTTCATCCCCTTCCCCAAAAGCTGAAGACATTCCTGTTGTCTACCTCCTCCCAGGACAGAGTATCTATCCATCATTCATCTATGTATAAGAGAGAAATAGCTGCTTTTCTAGTTGGGAGTTTGCATTCTCTCCATTCTTTTTCCCTCTGTGTAAATCCAAAGGGCCAAATTCACTGCTGTGCATTCTTAAAACTCCACTTACTCTGATGGGAACAGGCCAACTTTTGTCAGCAGTGAATTTCACCCCGTGGCTGTAACAACTTCCTTGTGTGCAGCTTTTCTCCTGTTCATGTTGATCACTTAAGAGCTTTTCAGTGGGAAGAAGCACATTTCTTCCAGTCAGTGGCTCACTGCTGTGAAGTTAACTATTGGCTGTCTGTTCCCCAAAGGTTGGGCTAAACCATCCCATTCTCTGGATGCATCTGAAGAGAACGATGGCTGGTCTAGCGCCGAGGAGCCGCTGAACTCATCGGATGCTGAGGAAGAAGGGGGAGGAGGGGGAGGCGAGATGAAGCTGGTAACCAGACATGCTTTGGAGCTAAGAAAGCCACACCAACGCACTGCATGTGCTAGCACACCACTTTTATATAGCTTTTGAAGCTTGCAGGAAGGAAAGTGTCAGCCTTGAAATGCTCAGCTGGGCAAAATTCCTAGGGCAATGGAGAAGATCACCTTCTCCTAAATCAGCCCTGTGTTTGCCCCTTTGGAAGGTCCATCTGTGCCTACCTGCAGCAGTCATGACTGCTTGTGCCATGGTCCAGCAGTCAAGCAAAGACATGCTCAGCTACTGTGTCCACAGCCTTCCACACCTTCCTCTATCATGTCATGAGTTTATCAGCTTGGTTTGGTGCTGTTTTGCCTTTTGATTTTGCTTTCTATCGATCTATGCATCAATTGTGATTGGAACATCTCACTGAATGTTTCTCAGGGGGTGAGAATTCATGAACTGAATTTGCATGTAATCACTCAGCAGGGTTTTACTGCCTCAGTCTGTGTATTTACACCACCTCCAGCATTGTTAGGTGCATGGGAAAGAAGGGCCAAGTGCTAACATTTCATGACAAAAGCTGCAACACACCTTGAAGTGCTCAACAGAAATAATTTGTTTGTTTTTCCTCTGTGTGCCTTTAGACTCCTGGTAAATATACAGTTGTGACTGATTATGAGAAAGGAGTTTCTGAAGAATTTACAGTGAAAAGTGGAGATCTAGTTCAACTGATTCGTGAAGGGGAGGATGGACTTTGGTACGCAGATCTGTGTTTGGCACTGTGTCTAGGCAGAGCTGTGTTGGGAAGGCAGATGTTTTAGGGCAAAGCTTTCAAAGGCCTCAAATGAAGCAATCTGATGTCTAACTGCTTTTATGTATATAATTTTTTTTTAGGTATGTAAAGAACCTGAGCAGTGGTAGAGAAGGCTGGATCCCAGCAAACAGTCTGCTGATGCTCATAGGCAACTCAAAATCAGCTCAATCTTTAAGCAGCTCTGGTAGGCTACTTATTTAATGAGATGATTGTGTCTCTGAAGATTCCTATTAGCAAAAGAAAGTCATGTAAAACAACCACCATAAAATGTTTTTTTGTGGTTTTCTTTTTCTTTCCCAGAATCAGGCACTGCCTCCAGCACTTTGAGCACATCATCAAGTTGCAGTGACAGCTGCAACGTCAGCAGCACCAGCTTCTCTGACATTAAGGGCTAGTATGGAACCTTCATCCCATCTCCATGGAAGGTAAATCTGGAGACTCATTTGCTGCAGAGTTCTGGACATTGGATTCCACTGGAGGACCACCAGTTCTGTGTTGCCAGCTCGGAGTATTCCTAGTGGTGACTTCTACAGGTTCTCCCAGAAGATGGCAATGAAAAGTGCATGGAATGTGACGTTGGAAATAAAAGTTGGATGATTTGAAATAGGGTTTTGTAGAGGTTTCTGCTCTGAAGTCTGAAGCTGCTGAGCTGGTAGCACAAAACACATTTTCTCCTTGACACACAATCAGGTTTCTGCAGAACTGTATCAGTCCCTAACCACCAGAACCTGAAGGGGAGCAAACAAAATGTGTTCAGTGCTAAATGCTCTTTGTAAACTAATAACATAGCAATCACTGTACAGCATAGATGTGAGGAAAACAAATCCAAGTTTACAAATTCCTGTCCCCCAGAAATCCATTCTCCCAGGACATACCTCGGGCAGTGCAGTGAATGGGACTCTGACAGTAATGAGGAAGGAGGTTTGGTCCACCCTTTTTGCTTGAGTCTTCAGGATATTCTTCTGCTCCCTAGAGACTGCAGTGCAGCCATGACCAATTCACTGACCACAACAGCATCAAAAGAAACTACTACTTTACCCTTTCCAACCTTTGAATGATGTGTGCAATGGCATAGCTGTTTTCTGAGGCATTTTGGCCTCACAACCAAATCCTTTACCAAGCTCACTGTGTTTACGTAGCCTCGGCAGGTTAGTCGTGTCTTGTTCCATACACAATGAAACACAAATGTTCTTACTCACTGAACAACTTTTTTCATGGGGTTACTTCCAGCTCTCACAAAGAACATGCAGAGGAAACTATTGTGTGTCAAGAACCTTCTTTCAGACAAACCTGTGAGGGCTGGAAATCCAACATAGTGTGTTTGTTCCACATTCGTTGAAAGAGGGGAAAAAAAGCAATGACATAATTTTTACTATAAAAGGGGAGCACAGGAGGTAAAAAAAAAACCATAGAGGAGAATCATATTTATGCTATAGTTAAGTATTCTATTTTTAAAAGAAGGATGATGCTAAACTCACCACTTTTCAAGGTGTGATGTAAGCCAATGGTGTAGATTTTCACGTTGTCAGATGTTCTTTGCACATCATCACAAACAACATGTATGGAATATTGTATTCATTCCTATCCATTGCAAATACCTTCTCTTAGATGGCAACAGATTTTTAACTGATTCATGAACCATATTGCTCACAAATTATGTGGACTAATCTTTCAGGATCAGGAGGCACAGCAGATCATGTCAACAGGATCTCCTGTTAATCATCAGCCCCTCCGATGGCTGAGCCCTGAGGTCTGTCTTTATGCCAGAATTTCGATTTGGATCATAGAATTTTAGGGGTTGGAATGGATCTATGAGGTCCATTCCAACCCCTAAATTCTATGATTTTATGTTTTAGAGGCTGCAGCTTAGGAAACTCAAAGGACAAACACTCTAAAGGATGAACTTACTCCTGGCTTGTAGAAACAACCTAGCCCAAATGCAGTCAAAATGCAGCTGATCATGGTCAGTACAAACTGAACCATATATACACACACATAGATTTAGGCATAGGTTGTGTGTGTATGTGTGTGTAGATATGTACATGTGTGTAGATACGATGTACCAATATAAAAGATGTATTTATAGTCTTCATGCTGCTGAATGTGTCACTTTACAATTCATAAAGACTTAGGTTTCTTGCAATCCTGCAATGCAGAGGCTGATCAGGGTTTTACTTCAGGCATCTTTTTCACCCCAGAAATCCTCTGGTCTGTTTTTTGGTTTTGTTTTTTTTTTTAATTACCCCATAGAATACTGTGCTGACCAGGAATATTTAGTCTGATATTTAACAGTGGAATGGCACCATGAGGTTCAGCTTATCTTCACCTATGTAAGTTATTTTGTAAATGATCTGTAACATAATTTACTTATGTATTGCTGTCTTTGATAGGATGAGACTTTCATTTCTCACCTCACTTGTGTTATTTCAATGGTTTTCTCCACATCATTGCACTTTAATACAACCCATTTCACCATTTCCTTTTTTTACTGCTGTTGTGAATTAGAAGTTCAGAGGTCTCTGCTGTAATTAATTTGAATAAATTTCAGCACTTCTTGCTGAATGCCTTTGTATAGACATGCTCTGGGGTTTGTTTTGTCTCAGGCTTGAAAGTTTATTTTGAGTATCATATGAAAACAGAGAGGTTGAAGGGTGTCTCTCAATTGAAGAGACGTGGATTTGGTGGGTGGAGCACTATCAGACTTCCCTTGGGAGTACCTAGTGCTTTCTTACACTAGTGTAAGAAAGTTGTGGTCAGTGGCTCATTGTCTATGTGGAGCCAGTGAGGAGTGGTGTCCCTCAGGGGTCACTGGTGTCCCTCAGGGGTCAGTGCTGGGGCCAACACTGTTCAACATCTCTGTCAGTGACATGGACAGTGCATTGAGTGCACCCTCAGCAAGTTCCCTGACCACACCAAGTGTGTGGGGCAGTCACAGCTGGAGGGAAGGGATGGGACATCCAGAGGGACCTTAACAGCCTTGAGAGGTGGAACGATGCAAACCTCATAGAGTGAAACCAAATGAAGTGCAAGGTCCTACATCTGGGCCATGGCAATCCCAGGCACAGCTACAGGTTGGATGGGGAAGGAACTGAGAGCAGCAATGAGGAGAAAGACTTGGGAGTGACAGTGGATGAGAAGCTCCTCATGAGCTGCAGTGTGAGCTCAGCCCAGAAAGCCAATGGAATCCTGGGCTGCAGCCAAGGAGTGTGGGCAGCAGGTCAAAAGAGGTGATTCTCCCCCTCTACTCTGCTCTGGTGAGACCCGCCTGGAATACTGCACACAGTTCTGGTGTGAAATATCATAGCTTATTGTGCACCTGCTCACAGTCACTGCTGGAACCCCTAAGCCCTAAACCAGATCCTCCAGCATCAGATCCAGATGCCTCTTCAACACATCCAGGGATGGTGACTCTGCCATCTCCCTGGGCAATATCTCGAGGAAGGAAGGAAGGGAGGGAGGGAGGGAGGGGAAAATCTCCCATAAGTTGATGCTGCAAGGATAAAAGGCTAAAGATGTAATTATTACTAGTTCCCAACAGATGGCTCCCAAAATACAGAGGTGACAGCAATGCTGAGAACACACTCCAGCGATTCTATCAGATCATAAACTGACACTAGGAAGTACAACACAACAATAGCCTTAGCCCAGGCCCCATGGGTGATAAACACCTGAACTGTGAACAAATGTTTCAAATAATGGTTGCATAATACAGCCCTGAGAACAAACACAATACCTCAGATGGTAAATAAATCACTATTGTGATCAGTGACTATTAAACCAATGCAATGAAGGCAGTGAGTGTTGTGTTCAGCTTTGGGCTTCAGCTCATGGCTTCTCGTGCAGCTCCTCACTGGCAGAGCATGGAAAACTGCAAAGTCCCTGACTTAGGGTAAGCACTGCTCAGCAACTACCCAAATATCAGTGTGTTAGCAACCTAATTCTCATACTGAACCCAAACCCAGTACTGTACCAGCTACTGAGAAGAAAATTAACTCCGTGCCAGCTGAAACCAACTGATCCCAGCTGAAACTGGGATCTAGGACAGTAAGGAAGGGAAGATCTTTAAAACACCCTTGCAGTGTTCAAAGCCAGGTTGAATAAGGCCTTGAGCAACCTGGTCTAGTGGGAGGTGGCCCTGCCCGTGGCAGGGGGTTGGGATTGGATGCTCTTCAAGGTCCATTCCAACCCCTTAACACTCTCTAATTCCATGTTTCTAAAAACACAGCCCTTTAAGCAAAGAAGTGGCCCAGCTGAAGTTAGTAGGAAACAGCTTTGTGGTAAGATCTGTAAGTATGAAGTTCATGAGTGAAGAGCTGTATTGAAGTCCTGGGAGTGCTGAATCTGCAGTGACCCTCCAGGCTCATCCCTGCTGGAGCCTAATTGCATTAATTTTATTTGGAAAAAGGATGATCCCCATATGAACTAACCCTTGTTCCTGCCAATTGGGCTCTAAAAATAACAATACTTTGGCTGTACTCCCAAGAAATGAAAGCCAAATCTTTCATATTTAAGGAATGCCAAGAGACAAAGGAAGACAGAAGGAAAATATTGCCCTAAGGGATGTACAGGATCTGCACATTAGGAAGAAAGCTAAGGGGTACCATGGTGCAGAGGTGCTGCAATGCTGCCGTGGAGTGGAAACCTCCTCAGCCTCCCTGGCAGGGAGATACCAACCCATCCTAAGGAAACACAGGTGCAGCTCCTGGCTGGTCTCGGGTATGGAAGGCAGAACTTCAGGCTCTGATCTGCCTGACTCATTCAGCTACATGGGGTTAAATCTTCCTGCAAGAAGAGGAGACAAGACTTCTAAATCTTCCTGCAAGAAGAGGAGACAACAAGAAACTTTCAAGGAGGTTCCACAAGCTTAGCTTTGGTCTTGCTAAGCCTAATATGCCCTTGTTATTTCCAACTCACTGCCAAAGGCACACAAACAAGGCATGAGGATCAGTTTGGCAGGTGTGGAGAGGGTTCCCAAAAAGCAGAGTAGAGCTGCTGTAGTTTCTTTTGCTTTCCAGTAACTGTCCTACTTCCTCTGCTTAGGACAGGACCTGCCATCCATTCCCAAACATCCCAGGAACAGGGCTGCTGGGAATTAGCCAGGCTGCAATCCTGAGGAGTGCCTGGATGTTGCCTCTGGGGAAAGTGATTTCATAGAATCATAGAATTTTAGGGGTTGGAAGGAAC